GCACTAGAAGAGTCTTATTTTGCACAGGTTATTGAGGGGGAGATCTCACAGGAACTCCTCTAACATGCCTCAGGTCATGTAGTGAGTCACCAGCAAAAGCAAGTGTATATACTAGGAGCTCAGATCCCCTGCTGTTGTCATCTGGCCACACTCCATCCTGGACTAGGAAAGAGAACCTGAGTCCTCCTATTCCCACTACATGATCATACTCTTTCTCAAATGAATGACTTCTAACCTCTGCTGTAGTCACTGACTATTCCCCCTCTGAGAAGGTCTCCCTGTGGGGAGCTGGAACAGGATCAAGCCTTTGAAATCAAAGAGAAGTAGAAAACTTGACAGGGTTGCATGTAATCACCTGTGTTTTCCAAGTGGTTGACCTGTATGGACATCCATCCATCCATCCATCCATCCATCCATCCATCTTCATATAGGCATATCTATCTTCTTCAAACACAACCATGGCTCTGGGCCCACATCCCTGCCCAGGCACAGAGCCAGAAGAAACAATAAACCTGCTCCATTCCCGGCATGATTCAGTGTGAGGAATGTACCAGGAGGAAAGGTGTGTGGGATGCAGCAGGGCTGTTTCTAAGAAATCTCCAAAGCCAACTCAATAATGTGAAATCAGGTCATGAAACCTGTTGGAAACCACGCCAGCTTCCAGCGTACATGTGGAGTCTTACTGCTGCTCCCGGCTCATCAAAGCTGCGGAGACATGGGATGGGCGTATGGAGGGCAACAAAAACGGTTAGGGGCCTGGAGCACATACCTTATGAGTGGCTGTGGGAATTGGGCTTATTGAGTGTGGAGAAGAGAAAACTGAGGGAGGATTTAATAGCAGCCTTCAACCTCCGAAAGGTTGGCTCCAAAGAGGACGGAGCTGGACTGTTCTCAATGACACAACAAGGAGCAATGGTCTCAGATTGCAGCAAGGGAAGTTGAGGTTGGATATTAGGAAAAAAATGCTCACTAAGAGGGTGGTGAAGCACTGGAACAGGCTACCCGGAAAGGTTGTAGAATCTCCATCCCTGGAGGTTTTTAAGGCCTGGCTCAACAAAGCCTTGGTTGGGATGATGCAGTTGGGGCTGGTCCTGTTTTGAGCAGGGGTTTGGACTAGATGTGACCTCCTGAGGTCCCTCCCAACCCTCATTGTCCACAATTGTATGAATACATATTGCATGGATGTGGGTAAGGATTGGCAGCCTCTGTCCACACGGGGATTTGATATATAAGCCCCACTATCATAGACCCAGCAGAGCCCAGCCTTCCAGGAATTCAGTCTACATGGACCATTTCCCTTTGGATTCTCTTTCAAAGCACACGCTTACTTAGTACCCGTGGGGTGGTCTTTACCCTCCTCTAGTCCATACACTAGCTGAGCTGTGGCTGTGTTCCCATAATCTTCCTGGGCTAACAAAACGGACCTGATCACATTTGCCCAGGTCCATCAAGCTTTGCTTTGGTAATGTAGGAAGCCAAATCTCAAGCAAGGCTGAGTGCCTGCAGATTCCACAGGTTTCATAAGCTCTGAGCGTCGGAGGTCAGTAGATACTTATCCGTTAGACACCATCAAATCAAGGAATAGCTGTTACATGTGGACTGGCTCCACAACCCACTCTGAGCAGGGGGTTGGACTAGATGACCTTTCTGAGGTCCCTTCTTGCCCCATTTTTCTCTGACTGCATACGCTGGGAGCCAAGCCTTCTGGGCTGGATGGCAACTCCAATGCCGCTGAAATCTCGGGCGGCCTGCGGACTTGAAACAGGCTGTGTGTGTTTGTGTGGGCTCAAACATATCCCCCTGCCATCAGCCTCCTGAGAGCTCTGCAGCACATGTTCTTTGCTGATAAGCAGCCCAGGAGGAGGCCTGTTTGGGGGAGTAGGTGTCAGCACTCCAGCCGGCTCGCAAATCAAAAGCCACCTACAGGTACTCCGAGGAGGAGGACTGGTCTGATAGGAGTTATCAAAGGGAATCACCTGGAGCGCTAGGAAATCGCTCCTCTTGTTGCAGCTGGCTGTGCCACTTGTCATCAGTCAAGCACTGAGTGTGAAGCCCTCCAAAGCCCTGACCCCCTGCCATTTCCAGCCGTTCTTTTTCCCATGCTGGATTAACCCTAAGACATCTCATTTAACAGGTGCTCTGACCCACTCTCTATCCCCCCCATGGCCGCTGGGGAGAGAGGAGTAGCTGTCATGCAGGGTGCTGCAGCCTCTGCTGCAGCCCCTACAATACTTAGGCCAACTACGCTCATAGCATGACTGAGAATCAGGCCCCAGCTGACTCCATAGAGAGCGGTCTCCAAAGACACCCAACTCAGGCCAGGTTTCCCTCCGCCCCATGCGCTGTTCTCAGCCTTCCCTTCAGGACCGATTGCACAACTACGCAGGGTTTTATTTTCCCAGCCTCAGAGATTTTGCAAGCAACCAGTAGTTTAGAAGAGAAAAATATTTACAAGGCTTTCTCAGCCAGGCTAGCATGTCAGCTTGTTTCCTGTTCTTTCTCCTCCTTCTTTGTCCCACAAAGTGAGTTTATTTTAACCAGCTGTCTTAAGGGAGACTCAGAGGAGATGTAGGGGTAAACTGAGCTGGGTGGACAGAGCCCTATTCAGTCTGCAGAGGGGTTTTGGATTCAAGAAGGCTGGAGGCTGAGCTCTCTGCTATGGTATGGGCGGTCAGAGGGAAAAGGGACAGGGGAACAGGAGCCTGGACCGAGGCCGTTTTAAATCTGGGGTCTGTGAGAAGACATCATCAAGATAAATACTCAGGGGCTCCTGAAATGGCTCTTGGGAACCTTAAAGCAGGAGGAAACATCCCCTCTAAGGCTCCCTCTGCTTGTTCAGGGGCTTCCCTATGGGGCGTGGAGCTGAAGAATAAAGTCTTTCTACTAACTCTTTTATCATGGCCCTTAGCCCCTGGCAGGGACAACCATGTCACTACACCCCAAGGGAAACCCGCTGGAGAGAAGACCAGGTCCCACCATGCCATGAACAGCCTCAGGGCTTTAGGCACTGAAGCTGCCATTCCAGGAGGACAGGTGGCAACACCACGGTAGGCTGGGTTCCTTCTTCTAGGATCTCCATTTTCTCATAGCACCCAAATGCCAGGGAAGGTAGGAACCAACAGTGTGGGTACTTGCCAGCGGGAATCAGGAAGACCTGGCTGGTCCCGGCCTGGGGCAGCGTTAAAAGTGGACAGGAATGCACAGGAGTCCCCTCTTCCAGGGCTAAGACCCACCGTTGCTTCTCATAATGACCAGATATGCATTGAGGTGTCAGTGAGGACAGCTTCCCCATTGCTAGGGGCTCTCTGCACATTGCAAAAAGAATGTCTGTGTGACAAAGAAAAAGCCAACTATATACTTGCAGCAGCTGGGAAATCCTCCCCACATACCCACCCATCCCTAACCCTGCCCAATAAGGACATTTTATCCGTGCACATAAAGCATGGGTAAAAAAACACTGAATTTTGTCAGGAAGATTCTTCAGGTGTGGCTGTTGTGTCACAGTGGGACATATGTCCATGCCGATGTATGAATCCCACTTTTGTTTCAGGAAAGCCATCAGGAACTTTGTGTTGAAACAGTTTTTAAATTTTCAATAAAGATGCTATTTTGTCCAAACTAAAGGATCACTTTCTATAAATTGTGTGTGGCAAGGGGAGAGGAAGGGGGTCGTTCACTTGAAAAGCTTTTGAGAAGAAATGATCTGAAATTATGAAAGCATTTTGTTGGGACATTTTCTACATGAAACCTTCTGGATCAGAAATGGCTATCTATCCTCATACAGACACATCTAGCTACCTACCTACCTGCCTATGAATAGACACATCTATATATGCACATTTACTGTGCAGTCACCAAAATTACTTCACAGTATGGGCACGCATCTACACGTGCACACCCATACTGCATAGTAAATATGGTGACTTGTGCCGACTTGCGTTATTGCGCAGTAACGCACATGTAAACACCTTACTGCGCAGTAACACTGTGTGTCTGGACTGACTTGTGACTAACGTTAGTCCCAAATCAGTCCACACACAGTATTAATGCGCTTTAAGACCTGCAGGTGTAGATGCCGGCTTATTTCTGCTTACTGCGCAGTAAACTTAAGCCAGTGTAAATTCATATGTAGGAACGCTCACTGTGTCTCCATACCTATTTGACCTAATCTACCTCATCTCATCTATTATTCCCCCTGCTGTCACTGCATATTTTGCTCCTGTTACTGTTTGAAGAAGTTCCTCAACCCCTTAGTGTATTATTTTTATACTGCTGCTCAGCAGAAAAGAAGTGACCAAAGTTCCCTCCGCAGCATCTCTGCCTGATGATGAGTGTGACTCATGCCTGGCTGCTGCAATTAGTGCTTGGAGGGAGGATAAGTGCAGCTTATCTCAGGGTTTCTGCAGAGGGCGCTTCAAACTCAAGCTTCTGAGGAAATGCCTGGGAGAAAGTACATGCTGTCCCAGGCTGTGGGAAGAAGCCGTCCCAGTTCCTTTCCCAGGGCAGGGCTGGGAGACACTGGGGTGGCATGCCAGCTTCATCCAAGGTGCTTGACAAGACTGCAACACAGAGAGCCAAAAAGCACACACCCCGTGATCCCAGAAGAGCAGGGGCATTTGGGTACAGGAAAACCCTCCTTCTCAGGATCAGTACTTCATCAGGAAACCAGCAGAAACAGGACTTGATCTATGTGCTTGTTCCCAGTTAGCTGCCTGGTCTATTATGCTGCTCATCTGACTAGCTAGTAGTTGGCATAGGTGCTCCAGGTCGGATTAGAGCCCTGTAACATTAGGTGTGGCACAGACACCTCATGCCAGACAGTCTCTATCCCGAGGGGATTGCAATCTACCTGCACAAGGCAGACAAAGGGCAAACAGGGAACTGAGGCAGGGAGCAAGGATGAGGCTTCCCAGCAGTCAGGGGTCTGCACTAAAGGCTTGAATCCAAACTCTTTTTGGATTCCCCCCACCAAAGCAGGCGCGCGCACACCACGCTCTTACCTGGACACTTGATACTGGTTCTTTCCTCTTGCCTTTTTTAGTTCCTTGGAAAAAAAACAGCCTCTTTCCCCTTGAAACTACGTGCTCAATCTCCAGGTATGGAAAACCCTGAACTCCTGTCTTGACCCAGGCTGATTTATGGCCTCGCATTGTTTCTGTAGCTCAACATCAGCAGTTTCCTGTCCTGTCACCCCCACCCTTTTCCTCTTCCTTTCCACCAAGGCTTGTTTCAATTCCAGGGAAGGGATTTTACTCTGGGACATGGGAACGGGGCAGAAATTATAGCACGTGGCTTCCCTATGGCCTGTTTTCCACAGGCGAGTTAGCCAGAAAGGAAGTCTCTATTCATTGTCACAAAGGCCCTCCATGCGTCTTGGGAAATGGAGGCACTTTAGTATGTGCGTGTATAGGGGCCTGCTTTATTTTTAAACAATGGTAGATTCACCCTCCATTAAGAGACAAGTTACTGGCAACATGGATAATGAGAGGCACAGCTTCCATGCTGCCCCAGTACACTTCTCTCTTGCCTTGGAGCAGGGTGTTGGCTCTCCATGCTCCCTCACTCCTGGACCTGCAGATGCTGAAGTGAGGCATGTTGGTATCATCTATGAGCATACTTGCACCAGGATGTGGGGTGATATGAATACTTGTCTGCCAGGACCTGAGCTGGAACCTATTAAGACTTATTTCATGTAACAGCCATCAGCTGACCCGGCTGGAAGACAGAAAGGGTGGATCGGTGGTTAGTTTTTTAACCTGAGCCCTGGAAAACTGTGTTTTCACTCCCTGTGTTGCTTCAAGCAAGACACTCTGGCCTAGATGCTCACAGGTTGCTTTGGTGTTGAACTTGCATTGCTGTTGTCTGAAGTCAGTGGGTGTTAGGAGCTCAAATACCCTTGAGGATATGCTGTTCAAGGTCACATAGGGAGTAGGAGGCAATTGTGAAGACAAAAACCGATTGTGTGAGGTGTCCAGACACGGGGTTGACAAGATCCATGGAAAACCTGCAGAGAGGCAGGCTGAGATGTAAATAGTGAAAGGACCATAAAACCAAGGTTTAATGGTGAGCAAAGCCATAAACATGAGACTTCACTGGTGCCGGGTTTGCTATAGTGCCTTCAGCCATCATATGCCTCTCATGTGACTAGCTCTTATCTGCATTTATGGCCATGCATTTATGGCTTTGAGGAAGTGCGTTTCTCCTTTGTTAGCTGTGTCTAGCAAATGACAGGCTGAAAGTTTGCCTGGCAAAGATGGGTGGAAGAGCAGAGAGGTCACAATGCCGTGTGCAGGTTTATAGGTTGCTGCAGTTTGTGAGAGGCATCAGAATGGATGATCTCAGGGGAAAAATGGGGACCTGGGAGCTTGGGGTGGCCAAGAAGGCCTATGTGTATAGACACATATTGCTGGAAAAAGTTGCCTTTTCCTTGGGAGAATGACTCTGCTTGCTTATTTTCATTATAAGTGAATGCTCTGTCTCTGTAGTCCACTGGGATGAACAGGGGACTGGCACAAAATAGAGGATGCTGAAGTAGCAGGACTAGGGGCATGTCTCCTCTGACACCCCCTTTGGATTGACAGCTGCAGATGATCTCGGGGTACTCTATACATGGCAAGGGGACCCTCTCCAGGCTCCGAATGCCTTGGCTGTATCCTGCTGTAAACACGACCAGCCAGCAGCATTTCAAGACTCATCACCAAGCCACAGATTGCTGGGGATGGAAGCGTGCCCAGATCAACAGGGAGGGAAAGGGAAGACAGGGAGCAAGCTTGTTAATGACTCTCAAGGAATCACGCGTCTTCCGAGTGGCCGTTCATGTGAACAAAGGCTGCTGGCCAATCAGAGAGTGCCTGGGCCTGCCTGGGGACCAATGAGTGCTCTCTCCTGCATCTTGTAATTTAGGGAATGATGGCAAACCAAGGGTTGGGACAAGAGCTGGAGGATCCCGTTGACTTCCAAGAAGAAATAAATATTTCGGCTACTCAACATTTCTTTGCAGTTAACACTCGGTGAAACTCCTGACCTTTGCTTCTCACAGATCCTCTTTTGCTTTTAAAGCTGGCTGCAAGCCCCGGTAGAGAGCTAGGGGGGAATGGTGTTGTGCAAAGGGGTTCTGAAAATATCATGGAAAATTCCAGCAAAAAGAAACAAAAGAAAACCCTAATATTTTTTTCATCTAAATTCTCCACAAGGAATTTTTTTTCTCTTGGAATAACTCAAATGCTAACAGAAAGCAGCTAACGCTTCAATCTTTTTTTTCTTTTCAGCTGAAATCCTTTGGTTTGGAGGCATTTGGATTGCCAAGGATGACCCCCACAGAAAGCAGAATTTATTTCTCACACACACACACACACACACACACCATTTTGTTGACAACTCCATTTTCTCAGCCCCCCCCCAAAACCTTTTCTGGTAGATTTTTTTTTTGCCCAGCCCTAATGAATGAGCTGACATCAAAGGCTGGTTTAGCCCTGCCAATTTGACTGGCTCAGAAAATGGCCCTGTTGATGGATGGGGTGGTAGAGGAGCAAGGCATTGGTGAAATGAGTTTGTTGGGTCCCAGACCAGTTCTAATAGGTGTCACTTTAACCCCTTGGCACAGCTGGAACTGGTTGGCACCCCTCCTCCTTAACAGCCTTAGTAGAGAGGCTGAGATCTGCGCCACACTGGGCTACGGACAAATCCAAGTCACTAGGCTGTTCCTTTGTCACGTCTCCCTCTTTTTGTGGTGCATCTGTACAGCACCTGGCACCAGGGGCTCTTGATCTATGATTGTTGGGTCCTGGGTTATAATAAATCCTAAATACTAAGCTAAAAATGACCTTTTGCTAGCACCATGTTCAGCATCAACGAGGGGGAGAGAATGAAAAGCTGGTCTCAGTACCCACAAAATGGCAAGGCAAGTAAGAGCCTCATTGCTTTGCTGAGTGATTACCAAAGCCCTGAATAACTTAACAGGAATTACAACAGCCTCCAGATGACAGGTGTTTTCTCACATCGCATGAATAAGGTTATACCAGCCCATCAGTGATCCCAGATGTAGAAAGCAGTAGGGTAGCTAGTTGTATCTGCCCTTATTTGGGGTTGCAAATGCTTCAAGAGGTCCCAGCATCCCAGAATTAGAAGCAGGTCCCGGGTGCAACATTTTGGATCTAGATTTTGAACACTGGTGCTGCAGGCTTTTGGCAAGGATGACAAAGGAGGCAGAAGCTTTTTGCAAACAGCTCAGACCTCTCTTCTATCTGCAGACTCCCCCAGGCTGGAGACTCAGGGTCTTGGCTTGGACCGGTCATTATTATTATCCATATCATGGTTTCCCATAAATTTTCCAACCCAATTTAGGGACCCTCAAATTTTCAACCTAACTTAGGGACCTTCAGTGCTGTGAAGTGAAGGCATTAGCCATGCCTTATCTCCCCCACGCTTTACCTGTGGCATGTGGTAGGTTGCTTTGTGGCTATGGTTTGTGAGAGGGGTCAGAGTGAATGATCTCATGGAAAAAAACGGGGACCTGGGAGCTTAGGAGGATGGATTTGATGACTTAGAAGGCCCATGTGTATGGACACACACAAACCTATGGCAACTTTTGCCAGCAAAACCCTGCAGATTGCATGTACTCCTCTCAAGGTTAAACTCTAAATCCCTTACCACTCTGGTTATCACCATACCCTGCCATGCTGGTGGGCAGCCTCCCCATGCTCTCAGTTCATCTTGCACACCATCAATAAATCCTTCTGCTACAAAAGCAAACTTAGATGAGCTTTTCCAGCATCAGCCTCCTTCCTGGGAGAGTTCCCGATGATCTCACCCACCAGCAATGAGAAGGATTTTATCGTGTTAGCATCCTGGTCTTCCTCCACCAAGTCTTTTCTCTCCTTATATGCCACCTGTGAGGTAAAGCACCACAATCCTCATTTTATATGCAAGGAAACTGAGGCACAGTATGTAATTAAACGGCGGAGCTGGGAACAGAATCAGACCTCCTCGAGTTAGGAGCTGACAGGCTGGATCAGTCTCAGGGTGAGTCTGACCCAGCATCCCGTCTCCGACTGTGACCAGACACAGATTGACAAGACCTCGGAGCCAGTTTCCTAGCCACCGGCCCATTAAGTTGTTGAGGCCGCAGCTTCTCAATTTGGCCATGAGGACATCATGGGAGCCAAGCTTAATGCCACGGAGCTCTCCGAGCCACTGGATTGTGCAAGTGCTCTTCCAGGGAAGCAGAAGGGAAGAGCTGCCAAGGCAGTGATTCACTGCTGCTGAGAAGGGAGAGGAGGAAGCCTGTGAGCCCTGCCTCTTGGTGCCGCAGCTTGTAGGTACCTGCTCTGGGCTTTTGCTCCATCTCCCCAAGGAATTCCTCAAACCAGCATCTGGCAGCAGGGAGCTCCACAGGTCGCTCTTCATTATGCCCTGCAGGAGCCCATTCCTGTCCGCACCCTGGCTGGACCTGCTCCAGCTTTAGTGACCGTAGCTGGGGTGTCTAGAGCAGGCCACGGCGCCTTATGGTTTAAGATCCAAAAGTCTCAGGTTTGGCCCTCATTGCCACCCAGAGCCATGGCATTACAGCTGCATGTCCCATAGATCCCTGTTGCATGAGTTACCTTTGCTATAATAACCCAAAAGAGTAAAATCAGCAGGAAGCCTTGGTAAATATCTCACACGGGAGCCACCCTCCCTTACAGGTCTGAATTTCAGCGAATGACCTCACTAGTAGCCTGGAACTCTGCATTTCATGGGTTAACCCTTGGAAGGCAATGAGTCGCTGTCCTGGGACACAGGAAACCTAGTTCTTAGTCCTGACTGACATTTTTGTCATGCTTTGACCTTGACAAAGGCACTTGACAAAGGCTTCCCTCTGCCTCTGTCTTCCCATCTGTATAAGGGGGACAATGGTGCCGACCACCTTTGTCCACCTCTCTTAGATCAACCCCTGGAGAGCTCTCCACAAGAGCTAGGGGTGAGCATTCACCCCCAGCAGCGCTGAGTTGCACAGGTTATCTACCCTGCCGTAGTGCGGCCTCCGGGTTCACTAAAATCCTCCGCGCTCTCTCACCCTTATTGCTTCCCCCTTTGGTTTTATGCAGAAAGGGTCAAGAAGAGACTTTAACAAACCCTGCAGGCCGGGTGTACTCCTCTCAAGGTTAAGCCCTAAATCCCCTACCACTCTGGTTATCACCGTACCCTGCCATGCTGGTGGGCAGCCTCCACATGCTCTTAGTTCATCTTGCACACCATCAGTAAATCCTCCTGCTACAAAAGCAACCTTAGATCAGCTCTTCCAGCATCAGCCTCCTTCCCGGGAGATTTCCTGATGATCGCACCCACCAGCAATGAGAGGGATTTTAACGTGTTGGCATCCTGGTCTTCCTCCATCAAGTCTTTTCTCTCCTTACATACCACCTGTGAGGTAAAGCACCACAATCCTCATTTTATATGCAAGTAAACTGAGGCACAGTGTGTAATTAAATGGTGGAGCTGGGAACAGAATCAGACCTCCTCGAGTTAGGAGCTGACAGGCTGGATCAGTCTCAGGGTGAGTCTGACCCAGCATCCCGTCTCCGACTGTGACCACACATAGTTCAACAAGACAGGCGTGAGAACAGAACAGTAGCAAAGGTGTGGTACTTGACCCCCTCCCACAGCAGGTCTTAGCCTGATCTTTAATCATTCAAACCCCAAAGCATGCACGGTGCTATCCCTACCATTATTTGTTCCCACTGGCAAGTTTTTAGGCTTAACAAGCCCTTAATTTATTAATTACTTAGTTGTTGATGAATCATGGGTCCATCCTGTTTCAGTCCTGTGAACACCACACCTTTACCCTGCTGCTGGGTTACCTCCCCTAGAAAAGAATCATTTTCATTGGAAAGGTCTCATCCATTTATCCCCAAGCTCTTTCATCTTTCCTACATGAAAGAAAAAGGGCATTATTAATCATTTATCCTGTCTCGGGAAATGCTTGGACAGGAAATATCACAGGGTTTCATGCCCTCATTCAGCTCTGCCGTGAAGTTGCTGCCTTTCTTTGTGCCTCACTTTTCCCATCTGCGAAATGGGAATTATGACACCAGCCTCCTTCATAAAGTGCTGGGTAATGCAGGGATGACAAGAAGTGCAGGGAGCTGCGGTTGATTAGAAGCACGGTGTGCATTCACGCTTCATTCTGTTCCTGCTGACAAAGCCTCCTGCTTTCACCTACATCCTGACTGAGGGTGACGTAACCCCCCTGCTGGAATCCACCTCGAAGTCTGGTGGGTTTTGGTCTTGGGGATCTAAGCCCTTAGGATCACATTCGTCGTTCCACGTCTCTCTCCCCCCACCTCAAGGGCAAAGGAAGATGAGCGTCTCATGTCATCCTCTGACTCCAGGAGCTGGGGCTTGAAGCACAAAAATTCAGTATGATTTGGTTCACGCTAACATCACGGGATGGCAGCACTGGATGTGCGTGTTTCCCTGTAGGTCAAGAACTCCTAGATGCCTTGTATGCTAAAGCCTTGGGTCAAATCTGAGAGTTTATCTTGACTCTGGAGCAGGCACTCCCTTTAACAACTGTTGTCTCCTTCCTGGGTCTGGGGAGTCAGTGTCCCGCTGATTAAAATCCTCCCCTCAATGTACCTCCCACCTTTGTGCCAGCATAACCCATGCGTTTTATCCCAGCACAGAGTGGGGATTACTGCTGGTATAAACCATAAGCTTTATTATTGCCAGTGAAGGAGCCCAAGGGATTAACACAGGGATGTCTTTCAGCACAGGGAGAAGTTACAGAGTTAGATACGGGGAAGCTGGGACCAACCCTAGTCTACTCCACCTCTGGTCTCCACCAGTCTTATCTATAGGACTCAGCTGGATCAGGCCCATTGCATGTACGTAGAGCTCCTGCCCTGAACAGCCTACAGGCTAAATAGAAAAGGGAGGAAAGGTGGGAGACAAAAGCACAGAAAAGGGGGAGTGATGTGCCCTAGGACACCCAGCAAGTCAGTAGCAGAATGCATGAAAGCAGCAGAGACCTGAATGATGTGGTACTTCCCACTTCCTCCTCTACAATCACCACCTTGTCCAGCACACTGGTGTGAGCCATGGCTTAGTTTCGACCTCACAAGATTATCAGGTCCAGCCTCCCTGCTCTTAGGCAGGAAAGACTGCTGCGGTCAGATGACTGCCCAGAACTGGCCGCAGTACTCCAGCTGCAGCCCCACTAATGCCGAGTAGAGCAGGAGGATGACATCCTTAGTTTTGCTCAAGATGCATCACTTGATGCATGCCAGAGTATTGTTTGCTTTCTACATTCATAGATGTAGGGTCAGAAGGGACCTAAGTAGATCATCAAGTCTGAACCCCTGCCCTGGGCAGGAGAGAATACTGGGCTCATATGACCCCGGCTAGGTAATCATCCAGCCTCCTTTTAAAGCCCCTAAAGGTAGGAGCCAGCACCACTTCCCTTGGAAGTTGGTTCCAGATCCTAGCTGCCCTGACTGCCATCTCCCTAAGGAATTCCTCAAACCAGCATCTGGCAGCAGGGAGCTCCACAGGTCGCTCTTCATTATGCCCTGCAGGAGCCCATTCCTGTCCGCACCCTGGCTGGACCTGCTCCAGCTTTAGTGACCGTAGCTGGGGTGTCTAGAGCAGGCCACGGCGCCTTATGGTTTAAGATCCAAAAGTCTCAGGTTTGGCCCTCATTGCCACCCAGAGCCATGGCATTACAGCTGCATGTCCCATAGATCCCTGTTGCATGAGTTACCTTTGCTATAATAACCCAAAAGAGTAAAATCAGCAGGCCTTGGGAAATATCTCACACGGGAGCCACCCTCCCTTACAGGTCTGAATTTCAGCGAATGACCTCACTAGTAGCCTGGAACTCTGCATTTCATGGGTTAACCCTTGGAAGGCAATGAGTCGCTGTCCTGGGACACAGGAAACCTGGTTCTTAGTCCTGACTGACATTTTTGTCATGCTTTGACCTTGACAAAGGCACTTGACAAAGGCTTCCCTCTGCCTCTGTCTTCCCATCTGTATAAGGGGCACAATGGTGCCGACCACCTTTGTCCACCTCTCTTAGATCAACCCCTGGAGAGCTCTCCACAAGAGCTAGGGGTGAGCATTCACCCCCAGCAGCGCTGAGTTGCACAGGTTATCTACCCTGCCGTAGCGTGGCCTCCGGGTTCACTAAAATCCTCCGCTCTCTCTCACCCCTGTTGCTTCCCCCTTTGGTTTTATGCAGAAAGGGTTAAGAAGAGACGTTAACAGGTGTGTTTTGCAGCCTGCCTGTCTTAGCTCATGCAGGTTCAACCTTCCCGTTTGCTTTCTTCTGCGGTTTCAGGGCTGCAGTGTATCCCCACCCTGCTTCCAGTAACCTCTACATCATTTTGTCTTAATCCAGCAGCTGGCTGGCTTTGCAAGTCAACAAGTAGCACGAGGCCAGTGCATGGCTGGTCACATGCACACAGCCCTTGTTCCAATCAGACAGCAGAGGAGGGTTTCTCACAGGCCTCCTTCTTTGTGCATTTGTGTTGCACACAGATCTTTAGTGAAATATCCTGCATTTTTCTCCTTCCTCTTGCCCAGCCCAGCCATGCTAACATTGACCACTTGACAGCCTTTGCTTTCTAGGAAACAAATGAGAAGGGGCACCAATTAAGTCCCCTTTCACTCCAGGTAGGAGCAGTGCTGTTTTCAGCTAAGCAGGGGTAGATGTGGCTTACAAAGAGGAAAAGAGACCTTCAAGGTGAAACCAAAGGTGTTATAGCAAATGCTGGTGACTCATACTGGAGAGACTGGAAGAGGGACTCTTGAGTCATGCACTCCTGCCCCCAGGTAGGGCAGGCAACAGTGTTTTATAATCACTTTGTGATTGCTCTTCCTTTCATATCAGCCCCAAAGGCTGTAAAAACTTGGGAGACTCCCTACTTTCCCATCAGCGGTGATCTTTGCCCCCCAGATGTTCTACCTCCATTCTCCCTGCATGTCCACCTGACCACTTGCCCCCAGTCCTAGAGTCATATGCTGGTGTTTTGCACCTCTCACATCCCCTCCTAATGCGGCGAAAACAAGACAAGTTTGCTTCTACCTAGCTGCCTTACATTTGGGGGGAGCTGAAATCACATGGACCAGGGATTGTATCACTGTCACAGAGGGGAAGGGGCTGGCCCAAGACCAGAGGCAGGACTTGAACCCATAGCCCAGTATCTTCATTACTGGGACCTCGCTTGGGTTCTGACCCCAGTAATCCTGGCTTTTTCTCTAGTGTTAGTGCACAGCAGGGCAGTGCTATTTCTGTCTGGGGGTGGGAAATGGAGGCACAACCAGCCAGCTCCTCAAAGATCCCAATCCCTTTAGAAACCCAGGACAGAGCAAGGACTAGAAGCCACGTCTGCCCAGCAGGCTCTGATGTGACCAAGCCCAGGGGCTCTAACCCAAGAAGGCAGTTCTGCTGGGGGTCAAAGCAACCTTGATTTCCTCCCAGAGACAGTCAGAGCCAAGCCCATTCCTGGGGGCCTGGCTCCCCTGTTATCTGGAGCTGCTTTCCCAGGGCTGCCTGGTATCACACACACACACACACACACACACACACACACACACACTCAGCAGCTGGGCTGAGACCAGCACGCTCCATTCACTGGTGCACGCAGAGTCTGAGGATGCTGATTGGCTGGCTGGGGAAATCAGGCGCCAGCTAATTGGCCAGAGGCCTCTTTCACATGGGTGCGCACACACCGGCCGCATGGCCCTGGCAGGCTGGTCCACCCACTGGCTTGTGCTGTTGATGCTTCATCTGTGCTTGCACATATCAAGGAACACGCAGTCCCTTCCTGCCATGAGTCACCAGCAAAGGGGGTTATTACAGCCTCTGGAGAGATCTCTGGAGATGTCTTGCTTGGAAGCAAGGGCCCTCCTCTCTTAAAGGGGGCCCCTCCTCTCCTAAAGGGGTGCAAGGAGTCGGTACCATCATCTACTGGCTGCTAAGATGCCCCCTTCCCACCCCCTTGCCAGACCATTGGTGAACGGACCTGCCTCTGACACTCAAAAGCATGGGCAGCACCCCACAGTATCTCCCAGGAAACTTTGATGTGCCCCAGATGTGCCCATTCCTCAGTCAAGGTGAGAGAGAATTTGCTTCTCTCTGCCTCAGTTTCCCCAACAAACATTTTTTAGCTCTTACACAGATTACAATGCAGCTCTAGCTGGCTTCTCTGGTTCTCGCTTTCACCAAACAGTTTGTCTAAAAGAATGAAAAAGAATTTAACCCCCCCCCCAAATGTTTCAATCGCTTTAAGTTTTAAAGCAGCTTTTCATGTCAGCCCCCCCACCCCGTTAACAAGAGCTTGAAATCAAAGCCAAAATGCTTTTTTGATTTTTTTTTCCTTCCTCTTCAGAACTGCCACTGACTCAAGCTGGCCGTTCACCCCGCTGAAATAAAGATGCAGCACAGTGCTTTTGAGATCTAGTAACAGGAGGGCTCTGAGGGGCTTTCCATACTTGGAAATCTGTTAGGATAAAGCATCCAGCGAGCACAGCACTTCTGGAATAGCATGAGCAGTAAAGCTGAGATAAATTCTTATCGTTGAACAATTCAAACTGGCACGAAGAGCATGGCTTGCTGAAAAAGGAGGCTCAGAGTGGGGTTGAGGGGGACAAATGAGGAAGAAGGCTGCAGACAGACAGGTGGAGCACAGGGCTCTCAGGTTCCCAATTCTCCTACCAACTTGCTGTGCAACCTCGGCGGCTTGTTTCTGTCTCTGCCTCAGTTCCACTGTTTCCCCCATAAAAATTAGGTCATTTTCCAGGAAAGGGGTCACGACATTTAATTAACAAAAATGCTTTGGGAGCTCCTGGTTAGAAATGCCAAGGGCCAGAAGGAGGAATAAAGGCAGTTGGGCAATACCGTACCTGGACACCTGGCGGCCCAGGGCAAACTTTTAGTATCAGGCCCCACTTCACCAGAGATAATGATGATAATAATCAGGGGAAAAAATTACCATTTTTGGGACGCCTTTCTGTCTGGGCCCCGGGCAGCCAGCTGGTTTGCCCGTGCCTGTGTCTGGCTCTGCAGCTGGATCTGGATTCAAACTCCCGCAAAGGTTTCAGGGGCAAATTTCAGCCAGCCAGGGGGGAACACAGCTCTGTTCCCCCCACTTCTCTCCCATGTCCCATGCTGGTGGAGATGAGGTGCTCCGATTCATAGATGCTAGGGTCGGAAGGGACCTCAATAGATCATCGAGTCCGACATCGAGTCTGCTAGGGTGTAATGTGAACAAAGCTAGGTTACGTGCTGTTGGGCAATAGCACTGTAAGGGGGGCGATGGATGGACAAAGGAGTGTCCTCTGGCAGGGCAGCGTCTCCTTGAGCCACCACCTTGTGCCAGTGGATTCCTGATTCTTTGTTTCCCCCTAAATCCCACATTTTGACCCCATTCTTCCCCATGCACCCAAGGTAGAGCCATTTTTTGCAGGATTTAAAATGAGTCCGATCCTCCCACCGGCCGCAGGCGGGCGGTGATTCCAGAGAAGGGGCAGCAGAGGGAGGCCCCCCACCAGGGAGATGAAATAGCCACTAAAAATACCTGGTCTGTGGGAGCTGGGCTGGAGGAGAGGCTGAGTAATGACTTAGTAAAGGGTGGTGAATGTGGCCTGAAATAACTCATGGGGCATCGTGATTAATGAGCAGAGTTTTGGTTTTAGTCTCACCCTGTTGGTTGCTGGGTTCTTTCCTGTAGCACTCGCAGGGTCTGAGAAATGGCGGAGGCACTGAGCTCAGGAGACTTGGGCTTAGCTCTTGGCTCTGCCACAGATTTCCTGTGTGACCTTGGCAGACAAGGTTCCTTGGGTGAATTTGATATCTTTTATTAGACCAACCCAAATGGTTGGAGAATAGTTATTGAGCAAGCTTTTGGGTTCAAAAACCCTTCGTCAGGCTAAGGAAGCTGCAGCAGTTGGTGTGAGCTCTTCCTGTGTGACCTTGGGCACCTCACTTAGGCTGGGATGTCTACCAGAGCCTAAGGGAGTGTGGTGCAGACATCACTAAGCTTAAATCCCTTAGGCACTCCATGCCTCAGTTTCCCCAAATGGTGACAGGGATCTTTCTTCTGACAGCTCTTTGGGGTGGGGACGGTCTCCTACGATGAGGTTGTACAGCACTGGATGCAAAGAGGTTCAGACGGGAGCCTCTAAGAACTCCTGTAATTAAATCCTCTGGACTTTCCCTTCCAAATGCCAACTGCTGGACAGGAGGTGTTGGCCCAGGTCCTGGGTGGGGTGGCCAGGAAAGGGAATCCTAGCTGAAGAGAGGCAGGGAAGAGGTTAAGATCATCTAAAACAAAGAACTGGCTCCCTCCACATCCCAGCCCCTTCCTGGTCAAGTGTCTGTAGAAATACACCCAGTTCATTGTATGGGCTTATCACTGTGACCATCAGTTTATTTTCCACTCTTCCAGGGGAGAGGTAGGGTATTGCAGAGGGGAGCTGGGCGCCTTCCAAGGGAAGGGGTGTCAGGAGCATTTTTGACTCCAGATAAGGCATGACTGAGGTTTGACTGAGAGTTAAGGGCCAAAAAAGCCATCCGGCTGCACTGACCACCTGTGACTTACCCTATGCCGGCATCCCAGCGCAAGGACAAGCAACCAAAGTCATCTGACGGCTCTGAATAACCATTCTCGTTAGCCTTACTGTTGGCCTGTAGATTGCTTCTGGGGGGTCACCATCCCTGGGGTGGGGTCATCTCACCCTCAGGCATCTTCCAAGAGGCTCATACAGCATCCTGCTGGCCTTCCTCCCGCATTGCCTGGGGATGTTTAATTTGCTACCAGGAATATGATCCTGGCTTCAGAGAGACTCAAGCCTGGACAGGCCCGTGGCTGATGGGCATACTTCACTGTCCATGAGGAGGAGCTCTGGAGAGGGACATGCATTCATGGAGCTGAAGCATGCTCTTGCAAAAGCCCTGCAGGATCTCTGGAGCAGGTTTGAGCCTTAATAGCAGCAAGACTTTGGCTGCCATTGTCCCCTGCTTTTTAACAGAGCAAGGAGCAATGGTCCCCAGTTGCAGCAGGGGAAGTTGAGGTTAGATATTAGGAAGAAGGATAGTAAAACAATGGAACAGGTTCATCAGAGAGGTGATGGAGTCACCATCCTTGGAGGTTTTCAAGACCCAGGTAGACAAAGACTTGGCTGGGATGATAGTTGGGGCTGGTCCTGCTTTCAGCAGGGGGTTGGACTAGATGCGACTACTAAGGTCCCTTCTAACCCTCATTTTCTATGATTCTGTGCTTTTCCTGAGTGTAACGTCTTGAGGTTATATCAAGTCTGACACCATAGTTTTATCTAAGAAGTTAGAAGATGGTTTGGATAGGCATGATCCTGCTTCTGGTGGTGGGGGGTTGGACTGGATGACCTCTGGAGGTCCCTTTCAGCCCAACTTCTCTTATTCTATGATTCTAGGATGGATGACCCCCGCCTCTGCCTCCCCACTCAGGCTCATTGGAAGTTGATGTCTCTGACCCAAACCACAAGCAAGAAAAAGCATATGATTCACAAAGAACAGCCACAGCCTCCCCCCCTCCCGCCTTCCTCCCCAGAAGAGCACGCAGGCAGCAAGTGGCTGTTCACATGAAAACGGCTTTGCTCCAATCGCTCGGTAGCTGATCATCTTCCAGCCAATGCGAGCTACTTCCCACTGGGGAGCATGAGATCAGCCGTAATAACAGTATCGGTGAGCAGAGAAGGGAGTGGAGAGTCATAGCTGGGTTGAAACTTGGTCTTGCTATTTATACCTCCTTGCTTTCTATGCCATTTTCCCCCCATTCTTTCTTCAAAACACACCCAAAGATTCAGCTAAAGGTTGAAGGGGCAAAGTTCTCAGCACGGGTCGAATGTCCTTGTCTAATATTTTAGATGTCTAGCTGTGGTCTAATATTTTCTTTAAAAAATATTGGGGTCTTTTTCTTTTCTGTTGGGCATGTGGCTAGAAACAGTTCAGCTGGGGCTCATCCCCAAGAGTCATCATTTCCTTTAGTGTCTCTCAGTTGAGTCATTATTCTGAAATCGCTCCGATTTTTAGAAATGGGAAAGGCAGGACTCTGGGATTCCCCTTCCTACTTCACAAAACATCCCTTCTTTCGGAGCATGACTCGGGTTAAGGGAAAACTAAAGACATAACAAGGATATATAGTAATGCAGTATATTACAGGCAGTTTGTCCTTCCTAGCAAAAATAAAACCACTCCCACCCACGTATACGGACTTGTTTGTGTTGCACAGGTTATGATGCCCTGATTCATATAGTGAATACAGGCCTATTTTCAGGTGCTGACCAGAGTCAGAATCAGGCCCTTAGGACCAGATTTTCAAAGGGGGCAGTGATTTCCAGGGCTCAAGTAAGACCCCTGGGAGGATTTGCAAAGGGCAGGTGATCCAGCCCCTATATGGCTCTAGAGTAGAGCCCCCCCAAACACTCATTGCTTTTGAAAATCTGTGTTGATTGGGGTTTACGTTGCTGCAATTTATTATTTGGACTGTGGTAGCGACAACCTCCTGTTCTGCAGTACATTTATACTATGCTACTTATAAAATACTATGCTACAGTATAGCATTTATACTATGCTATTGTATAAAAGACAACCGGAGGAGATAGAAGGGGGAGCAAAAGGAAATAAGGTTTTGTGCTTTTCAAAGCCTTTCTCAATTCACACCCTCAAAAAAAAACCAACCCAAAACACAACCCCCTCTCCCCAAAGAAACACACACACACACACACACACACACTTTGGTCTCCTTATAACGTTTCAGGTCTCGGGCAGTGAAAGCATAGTGAAGAGACTAGATTTCTTACTGCTCCAGTGCTAAAAATGGTCCCTTGAGGCCCTACAAATAAATCTAGTGTGTTCAGTCCACCCAGCTGTAAATCAGAGCTAATAAAAACAGACCTTCCTCCCTCGCGTGTCATAAACCTCTATTAATCTAATCTGGGATTGCCGAGATCTTGGAGAGGCTTAGAGCACAGCAAATCATTACCATCATAATCTGGGTATTTTTAGACTTGTTACAATTCCCCACAGGCTTGATCCTGCCAGGGTGCTGAGTGGGATGACCTCCTTTTTAAAAACTCTTACCATCCTCCATGGCCCCAATCCCTTTACTGTAGAGCATCACCTAACCCAGGTGGAGTTTAATATAGAGTCACAGAGCCTCGTTCTGCCTTCTCGACTGAAAGGCTTTGAATCAAGCCCTATCATGATCAATTCTTTTGAGGATGCCTCTTAGCTCCCAGCAGCATAGGGAAAATGTCAGACAAGGAGGCAGGTATCCTGAGCACTTTACCAAGGGACCTTTGGCAAGTCCTGTCCCTAATGTGTGCCTCAGTTTCTCCATTTGCAAAGCAAATGGATATCTTTGTGATCAAAGGATGTCAAGCCACCGAGTCTAAGCTAAAGCCCCAAGCCAGCTGGGATCTTGTTTGCTCTTGGTTGTACTCCCCTCTGTTTGCATCACCGCATTGCGTGGATACCTCTGTGGTGATGTTCGGTGATAGGAAAGATACTCTGGTCCTGCTAGGAGACAGAGCTCTTGACAAAATACATGCCATGCAAACAGAAAATGTCAGCCCTCCCTGCACACATCCTGGACAAAGAAAACACACTTGCCCTTCACCCAAATTGGCTTTGTCCAGGGCAGGAAACAGCAAAACTTCTGATATTAACTACCGTCCGGCATGCCGCTTTGAGCCCTGTACAACTCTTGACTGAAGCGTGAGCTGCTGCTTGCTAAAACCAGATGGGGCTTGTTTGAGGAGACCCCCCCGGGAATGACCTTGCATGGTTGTCTAGTTGGCAAGTGCTGCTGGATTAGCAGCTGGCCTCACCATTCCCCGAGATACGGGTTTCATTTGCCTTATTATTTTTTTTCTTTTCTTTTCTTTTGTTCCAAATGAAACTAAAATTAAACGGACATTGAAGAGCGCAGCAAATTCACTGGTAGTTGGCAAATGAGCACTGAAGGTTAAAAGAGATGATATCAAACAGAAATGTCTGTGTGTGTTTGTGTTAAAAACAACACTAGGGCCACACAAAAGGACCTGTGCCCTTTTCACTAACTTCTTAAATAATTAAACCCAGAATGATTTAACACTGCTAAGTATTTCTCACCCTCTAAGCAAACTCCATTCACTTTTCATCTGTAAGTTGGTTGAAAGAGAGGGATCCTTTTCACCTTGGGGTCTGGTCAGAGTTATTTTCTGGTCTTTGTTCCCTAGCACAAAGCTGCCAGGTTGGCTTTTTTCACCACACCTTATCCTTCCCTTGCCCCCAATTAAATCTTTCTGTTTCGTTTAAATGGCAAAGAAATTCCTGAATTAGTTTCTGTTTCTATTAGGTTTCCCAGAACCATTTTTATAGAATTATTCATAGGTCCTAAACAGTTCCTTACAGATCATACTGATTCAGGCCATGCCCAAATGACAAGACAGAGGAGCAACTGCATTGCATCAAGGTGGTTTATCAGACTAACTTTGCTGGAGACTTAAACTTTGCAGGGCATCGCCCTTGCCGGAGTGATTAGCACTGCTTACCATGAGGACCCTTATTCAAACCACCGTGCAGCGTGGTCTGTGGAGTAGCCGGCTGGTTAGCCTGTTTCCAGTGAGACGGGGTTGGAAGCAAGAGCAAAAACGACTGCCATGGCCCTGAAAAAAAGAAAAATGACCTTGAGACTCGCAAACTGGGTCAAATGAATCAATCTGAGTTCAAAAAGGAAGGAAACGTGCCCAAATGCCAGACACCCAGTAGCTGAGGCAAAGAGGTCTCTTGCCAAGGGTGCGAGCTGCAAATGTTCTGATCTAGTAGCGCTTTGCTCCCAACTTTGCGGTGAACGACCCTGCAAAATATGGAGCAAAGGGGAACCAGGCGTGGCAAGTTTGGAGCAGCTCTCAAGGGAGAACCATCAAACTCAGCCCTTACAATGACACCAAGAAGGAGCTCCCAGGCACAGGGGACACTCCAGCTGGCAAGAGATCAGTGCCTGTCCACCAAATTGAGGGTATATTTTTCCCCCCAGTTCAGCATAAGCAGATCCCTCCACATCCCCCACCTTGTCCCTTTGAGGGGCTGTCTCCCCCCGTCCCCCTTCTCCACAGCCCTGTACCCGCTGTGTCTGCTGCTTGCTGGATCTGCCCTGATTGCTTTTGCATTTGGCCAGTCCTTTGGATGGGAAGAGCTGGGAGGGCAACTTATTCAACATCCCAGCCAGTGAGGGGTGGAGGGGCCCTCACTGCCCCTCGGCTGTGCTGAGCAGCCCTCCAGGGCACGGGGTTGTTCTGCTCTCCTTTGGGCCCGCAAGCAACAGCTGCTTTTGCTTTGCTGTCTGGATCACCTTTGCCCCAGTTCTGATGCTGCAAAGGACAAAGGGAAAACAAGCTGAAGCCACTGTCCAGGAATAAATGCAGGCAGCCAAGTCCCTCCAGCCAAGGGATTAGCATGCCCCAGGGCTCTCTGCGGAGCCACCAGGGCTTGAGTAGGCCAAAGATGAGAGGGGCTGGGCATCAAGGGCTCCTGGCTCCTCTTCTGGAGCCTGGTGGGTTAAAAGTGGGGTGGATGGATGCTGATACCCCTCCTGGGTTTGATGCACACCATGCTTGGAGGCCGTAATCCTGATTCCCAACCGCGCCAATCTGCAAGGATGGAGTCTCTGCAGAGCTCCCCAGGGTGCAAAGCCCCTACCCCAGCTCTACCCCGGCTGTGGAAACCTCCATCATGGCAGTGGGCATTTTCAGAGGGAAATTTTCCACCCACCTTCCACCAGCCAGCATCCTGATAACTTGGGGTTAAAAACAGGTGATGGCTTTGATTCAGATTTGAGAGCTTTGTCCGGCAGCAAAGCCCAGATCTTGCAAGACAGACAAGCCCATTGTCCTTCCTTAAGTGCCTGTAAAGTATCTGAATTAAAGTTTGCCTCCATTTAAGCCTCCTATATAAAGGACTTTACTGGTTGTGATGCAAATCTCTGTACCTGTTCTGGAATCTGGGGACTAATCAACCCCTGATTAAACCTCTTGTTTTAAGCCTTAAGCATCTGGGGCTGGATCTGAAGACATCCAGCCTGGGGTATGTCTCTGGTGGGCTCCTGTCCTACCTTTATCTGATGGGTTAAATAACATTTTCCCTTTGTGATTACAACCTGGGCTTCTCTCACCCTACCTTTTTGATCACCAGCCAACCAGACCCTGCTGCACCCTCCCCCCCTTCTTTCCAGCCCAGAACATTTTCATCTCTGCTCTCTCCCCAATTTTCCAACCTGCTTTTCAAATAAGGACACCAGGGCTGCAGGCATTATTTCTGCACAGGCCTCACCAGCAGCCTGGATAGGGGCGACAACCCCTTCCTGGCTCCTCAGTCACTGCAGCCTTCTCTCCAAAGAGCATCAGGATCATAGGAAAGATGAGATTAACCCTTTTTGTTACTGTATTAGATGCCTACCTACATGCATGTGTGTACGCGGGTGGAGTGGAGTAGGCAAATGTATAAGGTGATAGACAGCCATACAGATAGATAGATGCCAGGATGAACAAACAAGGTAGACAGATGCAATGGAGGAGTGGCTGGACAGACAGACTGATAGGCGGTTGCTGCAATAGGAAGGGGTGTATAGATCTCCTCCGCCTGGCCAGGGATCTGTTTTGAATGCCTCGGTGTTTATCTGCAGGCAGAGGATGGGGGTTGTTGACGGTATCTGTTTCCCTTGAAGGAGCTTAGGCTCTGTCCAGTAAAGTCATCTCTCCCCATCCTCCCCCTCGTCCGGATTGAGAGGTGGACATGTGTGGCCCACATTCCCACCTTCACCTTCGGACTGAATACCTGGCTCAGCGTCCAAGTGCCACTTTCTCTCTCCTTGTAGGGAGCGGAGATGTCCAGGCTGGCCCCCTGCCCCCTCGGCCTCCTTCCTCTGCTGTAAACAGCTTCCAGGAAAAGGCTCATCCTGGCTCTTTATAACTAAGCAGCTCAGGGACAGCTGCAGGGAATGGAATGAGTAAACAGGCTGGTTGGGACGGCAGGCTGCACAGCCAGTCCTTTGCTGATCTGGCAGCTTCAAAAATATCCCCATGTATCTGGGGCTGGCGGCGCAGGGTCCCAGCCGGGGAGGAGGGCCCATGGGCCTGCTG